GTTGAAGCTGGTTGATAGGTACATGGGGGTCCTTTATACTATTTTCTCTACTTTTGCGTGTGTTGGAAAATATTTTTCTAAAAAAATAAACAAAAACCCTCTTCTCTATACTTAGCATTCAGCAACTGACTTTTTTTCTTAACCCATATTCTCTATTTAAAGTTATGGTAAAGGAATGATTTTTAAAATAAAGTCTCAAACACAGAGAAAGGTTAATGTCTGAAGTAACTTTTTTATAAACCCGAGATTAAGCCAAACTGTTTAAATTACAGTCATACACTGCATAATAAGATTTTGATCAGTGGCAGGCCACATATAAGACAGTGGGACCATAAGATTATAATACTGTATTTTCCCATACCTTTTCTATGTTTAGATATGTTTAGATACACACATACGTACCATTGTGTTAGAATTGCCTGCAGAATTCAGTATAGTAACATGCGGTACAGGTTTGTAGCCTAGGAGCCATAGACGATACCATATAGCTAGGTGTGCAGCGGGCTACGTAACCTAGGTTTGTGTAAGTACACTCCACGATGTTCACACAATGATGAATGGAGGAGACACATGGCTGTACTTAAAACAAACTTAATTGTGTGTTTTCTCCCTTTTCAATTCCTCTTTTCATGTTACCAATTTCATGTGTATGGGATGTATGAATGCAGAGAAAAGGAAACATGTCTTTCAACTATCAGAAGTAAAGCATGATTCAGCTGAAACCCCACATCTAAAGATTTATTAATCATATATATTTGCCAAGTCTGGTGCTGTTCTCATGGAACAAAGATAATCTTGTATGGCATGCATGTCCTAGAGGATGATGAACAGGGCATAGCTACTTGGCTCCTGATAACACCTGTGTCCTAAAGACTAAGGTCCTAATTTTATATTCCATGTGGCAACTAAGTTTTCGATATTCCTCAGGACAACATACTTCTCTCACAGTAGCCAGCCGCCCACACAGCACCAGATGAAAGGGTGTCTGAAACCATCTATCATCACTGTTGGAAAAACAATTATAAATTAATTCTATCCCATTGATAAGTCAGTGTTGCCATCTTTCCTGATAAAATGGAATGTTGTCAATTATTTTACTGGATGCCAAACTACTTTTTCTTAATCACTAATGAACAAGTTTGCTACATACAAGCAATACAAACTTTGGAGCAAATGGACCAAAAAATAGTTTTTCTTTTTAAAAGATGCATTGAATAAATGACTTCTGATTTTTCTATATTTGACACTTCCTTTCTGTCTCCCTTAAGTATAGATATTTCTGGCCTTGCTGTCTTTACAAGCACATGTTCTCGAGAAGCAAACTTATATTGAAAATAAAAATCACAGTAATTGTTAACATGTATTTATGTGTACCTGACATTTTCAATGTTCCAGCACTGGTCTATGTGCTTTACTTGTAGTAGTTTACTTAAACCCACAACATAACTATGAACAGGTACTGTTTTTATCCCAATATTACACTGAGGAATCAAGTGCACAAAAAGATAAAATAACCTGCCCAACGACGTGTCAGAGTTTTCAACTTGACTGATATATCCAATTTGAAAGTGACTTCGATTCCCAGTAAAACCCCATCCCAAAATCTCAGCACTTTGATACCAGTTATTTTTCTGCTGCCCATAATTTATTCAATTTTATTTTTATCATGTATACATTTAAACATGTGGTTTCTACTCGCAACTCTCTGTTAGAATCTGAATAAAACTTAAATATCCATCATCGATGGGAATATTAAATAAATTACAGTGCCTTCCCACTGTGGAACAGAATGCAGTCATTAAAAAGAATGAGGCATATACAGATGGAGTAAAATGGGAAGTTGTCCATGATATATTATTGGGTGAAAAGAGCCAGTCACAGAACAATATGATTCAGCAAACAAAGGTCAGACACCTATTTATGCCAAAGTATATAGAAAAATATCTGGAAGGATATATACCAAATTCTGAAGAAAAGCATTAGGAAGTGAGGAAAATAAAGAAAAATTTCTATGTTATCTTATATACTTGTAAATTATTTGGATTTTTATAATGGGTTCATGCTATCTTTAAAATGAAAAAAATAATGTTAAACAATATGCTGAGAGGCTAAACATACTTGATGGTGCCCATTATTTAGCTAGACCCTCCCCCACACACACATTATTTACTTCATTTTATTTCCTAAGTTTATTTTCCATTACCTTTCCCATACATAGCCTGGGGGCAATTACACTAGACTTTACCCTTTCTAATAACTGCCTGGGTTTTGTAATGCTTTTACGTCAACTTGGAGTATCCTCTTTTTCCTTAAATCTAATCTCTTTAAAGAGTGTTGTGCACATGTTCACTTTTCCTGTAAACTTCATAAAAGGAAAAGAGTAAATATCTGCATTTTGAATAAATAAGCTTTAAAAATTTTTAATACATTACTTCCTGAATTGTAAGGGGTGAGAAAATAAGAAAGAATAAATAGTTACAACATTTTTGAACAGGTAATTATATTTCTTTGTAAAAAGATGGCTTACTTTAACATTAAAGATATTGTGACAGCTGGAATAATTTGTAGAGTAAGTTAAAACACAAAAAAGAAAAAAGATACATTGAATTCTAGAAATTGAAAATATCAAGAAACAAGTTTCTTACCATTGTGAGGGTAAATGGATGGTTTTCTAATGCAGACACACTGGGACAATGTAGAATAATATACTAAAAAGCAACAAACAGATAATTTTTAAATGGCCAAGAAAGAAATTCAACCATCCCAATATTCTACATCAGCTATTTTTATAAAAAATTACATAAGGAGAAGGGATATTTTCAAAATTGCTGAACACTGACTTACCTGGCCAGGTCTTGCTTTAAAATTTTCTTTGACCATTTGGATTTCTATGACATCTGAGGGATGACTTATAACTGAGATGATGGTGACTGGCTTATTGCTCCGGATACACCTGTAAAGTCTTTCGGCACAATACAGGCACAAAGGTCCAGAAATCCAAAGCCACGTCTAAGGGAGAATTTTTGATAATATACTTCAGGAAATATTGGTATCATAGAAATCTATACCCTGCCCAATTGCTTATTTTACATATTATGGTAATAATATTTTAATTTGTATTTTAAATAATAAAACATCAAAATGAGTTTTAAAAAAATGGATGTTCACAGCATCTTATTCAACAACTAAAGTACAAAATAAAACAGAAAGTAATATCAAGACCCTACCCTCAAACCCTGTTCCAGGTTTAACTACCATTAACAGGTAAGTGTACATTCTTTCATATATCCTTCTGTGCAAACAAATATATAATGTATATTCACAATATCTTTCTGTAAAGAGAGAAGGGAAGTTAAAATCTCAGATAAATATGAAGATGATTTTTTTAAAGTACCAGTCCAATGTTTATTAAAAAGAAAATTCTAGATTATTTTAATGTACATAATGTATATGCATAATAATACATACCTATAATATATATATATATACACAAACATAATGTTAAATATGCATAGCATATATTTTTTAAATGGAATATGCTAGGCATGTTTACAGCTTACTTTTACATAATATAATATGAACAAAAGATAATAGTTAGAACTTGGAAATCATAAAAATTTTGAATGTGTGCTGGATGGATAGCCCTGATACAAGGATCACTGCATACTTTCCGAAGAAGCTCTATGTGGCTGATCCTTCTCCTACAACTACACACTATATCTTCCTCATCACTCTGAGGCCTCCAGCTAAAACTTATTTAATGGTCACTTTTTAAAACCTCATTTACGTAGTTGTTCCAGACCGTCTTCCTGTCATGCAGACAGATCATGCCTCTTCTGTAAAGTGACATTTAACCTGACACTGTTTGAAGAATAGGCATTGCAGCACAAGCTCTGCAATGTGTCAATCAGCTTTGAGACTTTGGGACAGTTACTTACTCTTTATTTTACACATAAGTAAAATAGGAGTCACCATACCTGCTGTGTCTAATATTCAGCATTATGTGAACCTCAAGAAAGTTCTGAAAATTGTAAACACTAATAGATATCTAGAGGATTATGATTAATAATAAACACAAGACTAGCACACTTATTCAAAAGTCATCTACAAATTCTTTCCAGATTTTTACTTCTCTTTCTTCTCTTCATAAACAGATATTTGACATCACTGTTCCCTACATCTAATTGGTACAGACAAAGAGTACAGGGTATAATCTGAATATGGACAGTTCCTATAGCCACTTAATAAGATTAGGTCCCTTATTTAACTATTTTCTGGGTATTTGGGGAAGACGTTTTCCAAGAACAAGAATTTTAGTCAAAGACTTGGGTTGGTATGCCACCTCTGCCAGTTACTAGTTTGAAGATTTTGGACAAGGTATGTTATGTATTTAAGCTCAATTTGTTCATCAGAAAATTGAGAATGATATTAATTTCTTCAAACAGCCTTTATGAATATTGAAAGAAATTATGCATACAAACATTTGAGCACAGTGCCTAGTAGATAATATAAAAAATTTAATAAATTGATTTTACCATTCATTATTTATAATATTATACATAATATTGTAACTCAATATTATATCACAGTATAATAATTATTAGTATTAATTCTTTTACTCCTTTTTTTTTTATTACTCAACCTGGTTTTCTCAATGAATAGCAAAAACATATTTGTATCTCTGTAGTAGCAAGCACCAGTGTCA